GGGCCCCGCTCGCGGTGGCGCTGGGCGCCCTCCACTACCTGGCACTTTTCCTGCAACTCGGCGGCGCCACGCGGCCCGCCGGCCACGCGCCCTGGGACAACCACGTCTCCGGCCACGGTGAGTTCGGTCGCCGCCCCCACGGACTTGCCCACCAAACCCCACCCCGGGCTGCGCCGCTCCAACTTGGCTGCCCCAGGGGCTCCAACCCGCGCTGGAGGTGGCAGAACTCCCCTGGCGCCCCCTGTCGGTGCCGTGGACCTGCCCTGGCACCCAGGTCAGCCCTGCAGAGGAGGGGGTACTCGGTGCACACCCTCGTTTCTGCTCTGCCTGAGACCCCCCCAACACACATACACACTGGCACGGATATGCACACCTGCACAGTCACATCGATATTCACAGCATGGACACACTCAGAGCCACATTCTCTGCTTTTTCACACTCACAACTCCTACCCTCATACATCCCTGCACGCCTTCTCAGATCCCCCTCCTCATACACACACACACACACACACACACACACACACACCCCAGGCGCTGGGCTGGTGGGCTCACACCCTGCCAGCTGGCACCCAGGCACACACGCCTTGCCACAACTCTTTCCTGCCCGCCTGCAGACACACAGACACACCCGTGAACACACTTTGCTCGCCCACTCCTCCCTGCCCATCTGCCTCTCCCCTCTGTGGGTCTCAGCCTTCAGCTGCCCTTGCCCTCTCCCTCTTCACCCTTGCCCCTGGACCACTGGGAAGGGAGCTGGGGCAGAAGACCCTGCTTCTTGAGAACTGTTTAATAGTAGCCAGGGCTGCAACCTCCCATCAGAGGTGGCCTCCTAGGGTGCAGTGAGGCGGGAGACCCTCGAAGGTGCTGGAATAGTTAGCGTGGCTGCTTCCAGCCAGAGGCATGGGAGTGGGAGAGGAATACCAGGGGCTTTTGTTCGGCCCTTCAGGCAGGGCAGGAAGCCCCTGGCACCTTCCACAGGACACCCCCATCCTCATTCGTGGTCCAGAGGACGAAAGCATGGGAATTAGCCCTGGCCACCTTGGGAGTCAGAGAGCAAGCACCACTCCCCTCCGGCCCTGGAGGAGCCCAAGTTGGCAGCAGCATCGCACTGTCTGAGGCTGGGAGGCATGGGGCTCCCCTGCCCCTGTGGGCCAGGCTCTAGCCTGGGGGCCGGGGCATAGATGAAACTGAAGGAGACCTTCTTCCACCCATCCCTTCCGTGCATGGGCTTCCAGGCTCCTGGGGTGCTGTAGTGCCAGTGATGGGTGCTGTGTGCCCAGGCTGGGGAAGGCTTGCACAGAGGCAGAGAGCAGGGTGCTTTATTCTAATGGGGATGAGTGAGGGGTGCATGAGTGTGTGGAGGGGGGCAGAAATCAGGGGTGTGATGCATGAGTGGGATTGCTCTGGTGGGGAGGGTGTTTCCAAAGCCATTCTCGGGGTCTCTGCCTTTCGGGAAGCACTGGTCCCTGTGCTCTTCTGGTCCGCCACCCTGGCTGGCAGCTGCTGTGTGCGCTGTTCTTGTGCTCTTCCTCCCCCTCGCCCCATTCCTCCTGACCTGGCTGCAGCGCTGAAAACAGGGAAAGGCTTCTTTCGCTCCTCAGGTTACGTGTGGGGAAACCAAGGCTCAGAGAGGTGAAGGGAGTTGCCCAAGGTCACACAGCAAGCGAGTGGTGAGGCAGAACGAGCTCCAGGGTCTGTCTGGTGAAGACAGTGCTTTTTCCAGGACATTCGTCTCACTATCAGATTCCCTCCCATTCAAAGGAAATTGGGAATTCCTCCTTCCCCTCCCCTCCTTCTCCTCTCAGCTCCTTGGCAGGGTTGGAACTTAACACAGGGAGGGTTTTCCGATGAAGGGCTTCCCTGAGTTTGTGGCCCAAGAGGTGTGTGGACTAGGACTCTGAGCTGTACGGTCCTCCTGTTCCACCCCAGGGATTTGGGTGCCACTCTTGGATTCCCGAGGCCCCCAAGTAGCCCCATATGGAAGCAGGGGCAGCCTTTGTGTGACAGTCTCTGCCTGCCCCCTGGTGCCAGCTGTGCTGAGGGGCACAGCTCTGCCCTGCCGGCCGTAAGCTCTCATCTACACCTGGGGGAGAGTCAGCCAAGGCCCAGGGCCGGTCCGGATGAGAAGAGCTAGCTACTGGCTGCTAAGGTGCCTGCTTCTCTCCCTGACCCCTTGTGTGGCTCTGGGCAAGTGAGTCGTTTCATGGGGCTCCCTCTGCCCCTCAAGAAATGAGGAGGTTGGGCTGCTCTGCAGGGGCCAGGCTGCCTTCCCCACACCACCAGGTTCAAAGTCACAGAGTAGTGGCTGGGTGGGAACCTCTGCCGGGCCAAGCGCCTACCGCCACAGGAAGGGTTGGGAGCCACTCACTTAATCACAAAAAGAAACTGTTATTAATGATAGTGAGACGCGGCGAATAAGTGGGTCATGTCTAATAAGCCATTTGTGTTCAGGAGGAGAATACCAATTTGATAAAAGCTGTGTGTGCTGAAAAAGCTCAGAAATTGCTGTTTAGCAGATTGGAGCCTGATCGTTTCATTATTCCTGGGCTCTGTGTGTCCTCAGCTGATTCAGGAACTGTGGCCGGGTCCGGAAGGTGTCTCTGTCTGGGGGTTGGGGGCTGGAAGCCTCCCTTCCCTCCCCCACTACCACCCCTCAGTGCGCTCCCAAAAGGGCTTTTGAGAAGCCTGAGAAAGGGGTGGGAATGAATGGGGTGCGCCTCTCAGGAAGCATCAGGCACTGGGAGTAGGGTGGCGAAGGCTGTGTCTGCACTTAATAGGTGCTTGGAAGGTGGCCACTATTTTGATTTTTCCTTATGGGAAAGGGTTGCTCGTTGCCATGAGCACAGCAGGGCTGGGAGGAAAGGGAGCTGGCATTTATGAAACACCTACTGTGTGCTCGGTGCTGCGAAGCTCCTTGGCAGTGTTAACTCCCTCGAGCTAACATCACTGATGGAGACTGGTGGACAGAGGATGAGATAGGTTCCAGAGGACCGTGACTAGCCCAAGGTCACTGTGTACAGCGAGCTGGAGGATGTGTTTAGAATGGAGCTGTATCTGGCAGTTCTGAGCCCAGTTCTGGCAGCCCAGGCACACAGAGCACTTCCTCCTCTGTGTAGACGCAACCCAAGCGTGCCTCCTCTCAGCTTCCCAGAACACCAATAAAGCAGTGGGTTCCACCAGGAAGACCCAGTGGCTGAGTGATGGGATACTGCTGCAACCACATGCACGCTGCAAACTGGCAGCCGGACTGGACTCTAGGTATTGTCCCCTGTCTTTATCCAGGGCAGGACAGGGAGGATCTTTGCAGACCCCATGTCTCAGAATCCCCCAGGGAGTTTGTTACCCTGTACGTCCCAGGGTCTCCCCAAACCTATTGGCCAGTAATAGTAATCGGTGGGGCCCGGAATCTGCATTTTAATAAGCTGCACCGCAGAGTCTCACAGCCTGGAGTTTGGGTGCCGCTGCTCTCCACACTCTCCCACCTGACAGGAGATGCAGGACGGGAAATTGCCTGGTGCTGTGGTTTGGCTTGGTTTGCTTTCACAGGGAAGAAAGAGGCCTGGGGCAAGTATAGAACTCCGAGAGGAGCCCCAGGAAGACCACGCTGCAGCAAACATCCATCCTCCCCTGCCCTGACCCCGCCACACGTGTACACATGCACACACACACAAACGCACACCCTTAGGCCAGTACCTTCAATTATTAATACACCCCAGTGCAGACAAAGATCTTGGCTTGGCCTGGTGCTTCATCCATTGAGTGATTCACTGTCCTGAGGTTCTCTGTTGCCAGGAGGGAGCAGCGGGGCGCCAGTGGAGGGAGGGGCACCGGGCCATTTGGCAAGCAGCCTACGCTGAGAAAACGGCTCTGGCTTCCTTGCCTCCCTTACCGAACTACTGGTATCTTCCCATTAATAAGTCGCTAGTTTGGTGGCTGGGAGGTAGAGAAAATTGAGTCCTGTCTTCCGAAGGTTATGATGTTAAAAACGTGCTCGCCTTTGTCTCGAGCATTGGTGATTATTCTATCAATTACGCCCATAAACACTCTGCCTTGGGCTGAGGGTTTCCCGGCCTCCTGTAGGGAATTGGCCCTCACCAGCGGTTTTCCCCAAGTCCTTCACACCAATTGGTTTTGACACCTTGCCCATCAGCCCCTCCCTAGGCCTCTCCCCTAAACAAGGGGAGCCGCAGGCGGCTGGCCCAACTCAGGGAATTCATCTCCTTGTCATGGTGACGGTAAGGGGAGTGTGCCTGGTCTCCCCAGGGCGAACAAGAGTGCAAGGTGAGGGGAACCCAGCAAGTGGTGCCTTCTGACCCTACAGCCACCAAGACAGGAGACGAAGCATCTGGAACAAATTGTCAAGGCCTCCCTGGACCACCTTTTTTGATCCTTCTCTTGGAGATGAGAAGACTGAGGCTCAGAGACACAAGGGAACTTGTCCCAAGTTACTATAGAGGTTACTGCTCGGTTGGGGGGATCAGCTTGTCCAACTCTGTACAAATGGAGAGATAAATAGATGGAAGTGGGGTCAGCTGGTGACACATTAATTGAAGGGGCTGTTTCCCATAGGGCTGACTGTGCAATTTGAGCCCTAGACTTGGCAAGCTTGAGAAACATGCCAGGTGCATGTGTGTGCATGCCCAAAATCCTGAGAGGAGAATAGAGAAGGGACTGTGGCATGGCCGCCGCCCTGAGGAGGTACTTTCTCTCTCTCTCTCTCTCTCTCTCTTTCTGGCAAGTGCATGTATCCTTTTTTAAAATCTAGAACAAACTTAACAAATGCATATGGAAGAAAAGGTGTACCCAGTGTTATGCCAATGCCTTAAATTGTTTTTTTTTTTTTTTGATCCTTGCAAGAACACTAAGAGGAGAGGGAGGTCAGGGTCCCACTGTATAGATGAGGAAAATGAGACTTGGTGAGGTCAGGGCTTACCCAAGGTCACGCAAGAGGGTGTGCTTGGAGAAAGTGGCAACCCCACAACCCTGCTTCCCTCCAGGCTGAGAAAGAAGGTGGAGAGGGAGGAAGCACTGATGTGACAGGGACACAGCCCAGGTAAGGGGTAGGTGATCAGAAACCAACCCATTTCCAGGTGCCTGGCCATTGTCTTGGACCTT